TTCCCGAAAAAATGGCTTCAAAACGTGCATATATCTGCCTACCGATTTCCCGCCACTAGAGCCAACGAGGAGTCACATACCTTAAATTCCTCAAAAACACAGTCTCAGTCAAAATGGTTGGGACACTTTGGGGTCTCCTTGTCCCCTCAATGTTGGTGTACAAGATTTGGTGACCAAACCGCTATAAACAACTTTGAGAGGGACGAGGGGAGCACGAGAAGGGAAAAAACAACGTTTGGTTAAAGTGTCCCAACTATTTTTTGTCCGAGACTGTAGGTCATAAGGATAGTAAAGACAAAGATGGTATTATTGTATTGTTGTGCTACTTACACCCGTGTGTGGATAATAATTTATTTTAAGTCTAAGCCTTATAATATTATTGAACAATACTTAGTTCAAAAGATTTAAATTTAGACAGTGAATGGACAGAAAGTGCAAGTAATTGCCCTTTATATTTGTGTTGCTTGGTAGTTATTTATTGCGTAGAACAAATGAATGTCTTGAAAATTCCAAAATACATTGTGTGCTAAGCCAAGGGCTGGGGTTGTTGAAATTCTCTACAGGTATGTTCTCTATAAAGCCATAACTAACATAAGAGAAATCCTCCACAAGCCTTCCCTTATTATCCATGAAGGGTATTATGAGATGTTCGACAAGGCAGATAAAACCTTCCAGCATCAACCAGTGTTCAACCCTGATTCCAAAAGAGTGGTTCTACTTGATGGAGATGTCACCAATGAGGTTTTTTTAAACCAACTTTCTGTATCCTTTTTATTACCGAAAAGGGTTCTACCTTGAGATCTAATCAGTGTGTTTCCATTCTTACAGATTGCTGACTAAAAATATTTCATAATTCTCACGATATTTTGCAAATAATAATGTTCATTGAGGGTTGATTTTGTTAAATTTTCAAAACAGGGCAGTTTATTAATATTATCTTTCTTAGCACATTTTAGTTCTTGTTGCAGCAACTTATAGTGGAAACAATCAAAAGCCAAACTACTATCCAAGCCCCATATTTTTAGAAGTAGTGAAAGTCACAACAGACAAAACACTTCAGTTATACCATTGTAAAATGCAGAATAAAACGTGTGACTCTGGTTATCTATCTACTATTATACTATCATTAAGCATTGTTGCTATCTTGAAATAGACTTTCTAAGATCCTAAGTTTAATAAGTTATGCTGGCTGTTAGAAAATTACAAATGTAAATGGTTTAGTAAAGTGGCCTTCCTATGTACATGTAAATTGATGATTGTGTTGATATTATTTTTCTAATAAGGCTGGATGATTCTGTTACCTAACATAAACATATTAATGAAGTATTTTTTCCCATTAAAGGAGGGGATTTTGCCAGTAACCATGAGTGCTGTGACCTCTACTGACACTCGTGGGCCTAAAGGATCAGCACCCAGACAAGCCACCAGTTCACAAGTGCTAGCCATAATTGAGGTGGACACTAATGGAAAATTTCCATGGACTATGCGATGCTTACCCATTTTAGTCATTGACTGGACGAAGGGGAAAGTGAGCTGTGGTGGTAATGTAAAAGAAGTACTTTTCCAGAGTTCAGATCTAAGGCTTCCATAGTTATCAACACCTTTTCAAATAACTGTCTCATCACCTTATGTCACTACCATTGATAATACCCAATACACTGTGACTTGGGAGTGGGACTGTTTTGACTATAATAGTGAACAATCCACATACAGTGCCAATTCCTCTTCTGGTGATGAGAACTTAGTAGACTATGGAACAGGATTGAAGCATGTTCGCTTTATAGCAGAAGAGCTAACAAAATATGTCCATCATGTATTAAATTCAAGAAGACTACAGCATGCAACTGTATATCAGTTAAAATTCCACACCCAGCGGGCAAAATTAGGGTACTACATGACATTGTTGTTATCTTGCAAAGGAGAATGGCCCTCCCAAGCTGTACAAGCCAGTTCTCGAGTACAATAATAATATTTTTACTTTGTCTTCAATTGGAAATTTAACTTTTCCACCATTTTCATCTATTCTTCTGATAGAAAATGGTTTGGTAGTTACATTAATGTTGAACTTAACAATAAGTTTAAAAACACAGTACAACTAGTTAGAGTTTTTTCCTAAAAAGTGGTATCACTGTCATGTGTTTACTGCGTTCAAAGGACACCACCACGTTGATACTCGTACATTTTAAGTGCATTCAATTGTCCTTCATAATATTCAACCAGATCCATTCAATTACAATTTTTGAGACTGTGGGCAATGCTGAATAGACTCAGAAACAAACTTAATTAAAATGCAGCACCGTGATACTGAATAACAACTGCAAGGAAACAACTATTAAAAGTCAGATAAATTCATTGGTGGAAGTGTCTCGCTTGCTGCATAAAATTGAGCCCTAACAATAAGCGAACCCCATTGAAGAAAATTGTCACGGTTTGCCACAAACACCCCTGGATCAGCTCTACGTGAAAACACTACTCGATCTAAGCATTCAATTCCTGATTG